GAGGGCAGACAGCTAACCCGCCCGAGGCTGGCTTTCTTGTTCGAGAGGAAAACAGAATCAGCCTATTGCTCTGATAGACGGCCCCAGACAGGGAGAGGCCAGACTGTCAGGCAGCGGGCAGAGATCTCTCCAAGGTGTGTGAAGCCAGAGGCCATTACTGCGGGACTTGGGGAGGAGCCAAAGGGAAAACAAAGTCTGTCTGCACCAACCCGAGACTCCGTCCCATCTGTGGCTGAGCACAGAAGCTCTCCCAGAGGCTGGCTTTCTCTAAGGAGGGACAGACCGGAATCCAAAGCTTGTCTGCGCCTTTACCAAAGAGGTGCACGCCTGCAACCAATCTTCCGAAACTCACAGCGAACAGGACTTTTCTAAGTGGAGACTGACAGGGAACCAAAGATTGTCTGTGCCACCCCAAGACCCCGCCCTATCCAAGCGGAGTACAGAAGCCCTCCTAGCTGAGACACTGCTGATTCTCACAGCCAATTGGCTTGGAGATCAACGCATCCCAGTGATACCAACAATAAGAAAGGCTTAACAACAAGACTGCACACACAGCCCACAAAGGGCTACACCAAGACTGTCCACCGCAGGTAACTGGGAAAGCTGTGCTACTGGGTTCTACCAGAACACCTAGCACACAAAGCTATTCCGTCAAATCAGGGAAACAACTAAAATGCAGACAAGAGGAAGGACACAAAGGAAGGAGATGGAGGAAAAGAAAAGATTGGATATTGAGTTCAAAACTACAGTTATAAGGTTATTCAACAATATCCTAAAAAAGGCTGATAAAATAAATGAGATCTATGAGGATATGAAAAGGGAGCAACTAGAAATAAGGGATCAACTAGAAATGAAGAAAACATTGTCTGAAATAAAAAATATTATACAAAGTCCTAAAAACAGACTGGAAGATTGCAAGAATCAAGACAAAGATTTAGAACACAAAGAGCCAGAGGACACTCCTTTGCAGAAGCGAGAAGATAAGAGAATCCAGAAAGTTGAAGATAGTGTAAGAAACCTCTGGGACAATTTTAAGCGAACCAACATGAGAATTATGGGGATTCCAAAGAGAGAGAGCAAGATACCGAAAGAATACTGGAAGAAATAGTGACAGAAAACTTCCCCCAACTGGGGAAAGAAATAGACTTACAAGTCCAGGAAGCCTGCAGAACCCCAAACAAAAGGAATCCAAAGAGGACCACACCAAGACACATCATAATTAAAATTCCAAGAGAGAATATTAAAAGCAGCAAGAGAAAAGCAGGTAATTACCTATAAAGGAGCACCCATATGATTGTCAGCTGATTTCTCAACAGAAACCATGCAGGCCAGACAGGAATGGCAAGAAATATTCAAGGTGATAAATAGCAAGAACCTACAGCCAAAAATAATCTACCCAGCAAAGCTATCACTCAGAATCGAAGGACAGATAAAGAGCTTCACTAATAAAAAAAAGCTAAAAGAGTTCATCACCTCCAAACCAGAATTATATGAATTGCTGAAGGGGGTTATTTAGGAAGAGGAAAAAGATAAAGATAAAAATTATGAACAACAAATATATAACTATCAACAAGTGAATCTAAAAACCAAGGGAATTAAAAAATCTGATGAACAATATTAACTGTTGAATATAATAGAATCAGAGGTATGGAAGGGGAGTGAACTGATGATTCTTGGGGAAAAGGGGAGAGGGCGGCGAGGGAAGAGACTGAACAAAAACTGTGCACCTATGGATGAGGACAATGGAGGGTGGGGAAAGGGCAGAGGGTGGGGTGGGAATCTGGTGGAGGGGAGCAATTGAGGGGGGGAAGAGGAACACATTTGTAATAATCTGAACAATAAAGATTTATTTTTAAAAAAACTAATCATGTCTGTGATAATTTTATTCAAAACTATACTAAAATGAATATAAAAAGTAAAAAAATATTGCCGTGGTGTGGTACAGTGGTTAGACTGCTGGCCCAGGCACCAAAGAGTCATGGGTTTGATTTCCAGACAAGGTCTGTACCTCAGTTGCAGGCTTGATTCCCAGCCCCGTTGGGGTGCGTGTGGGAGGCAATCAACGTGTCTCTCTAACATCCATGTTTCTCTCCCCCCACCCCTGCCTTCCACTCTCTCTAAAAACATCAATGGAACGAAAACTTAACTAAAACTAGTATTGACCTTAATCTAACTATTAAAACAATCCCCTCTCTGTTCAGTACCTGGATCCAAGCCTCATAGGCAAATTCTCTTTTCGAATAGAAAAATAATTCTGTCAGAGAAACTGATTCAAAGCCGCCTACAGCTCATTTCCAAACTATCATCGATTCTCAGAGATAAACGCTCAGCTGGTGACAGGATCGGCAATGTGATGGAAGAATAAAGTCTCATTGAGGGTCTGTCAGAGGAAGCTGTTCCATAGGAGAGCAGCTAATTATAGAATCCATCCCATCCACGGCTTCAGAAAATGCATACCATCGTTCTTAAAAGGCATTTCAGAAAATGCACCACCACCTCCGAAGACAGCACTGAGAAGGGAGTTTCTGAGCCGGCTGCAGGGATCCCAGGGTAAGAGCTGGTATTGATACAGTAATTAGTGGTGAAACACTAGGGAGATGCACATGGAAATCAGAAGCAAAACAAGGGTTCCTGGCGTAGCTCCATTAGGATTTGGGGCAAATGCCAGAGGACTCAGGGAGACACCGAGGAGCACCTCAGAGGCGAAGGGACGCTGCTCACAGCTGATGCTCCCACCGCAGCCACAAAAGCCAGCGAGCCAAATAACCCGATGGGTGCATCTGCAACAATGAGCTGCATTTCCTCACACACATCGGCTAGAAAATGCGCAAGAAAAGGAAATGCCAGTCACCACGGCAACAAACCACTGTCATCACCACCACCACCACACAACACGCCCCAGGACTGCACTGCACAAGGGTGAGTGGTTTCTGAGACTGAAATCTCCAAACTGATCCAGGGCAACGCGAAAATCCTCTCCCAAGCGGAGGCTCAGGTCACATCCCTGGAGTGATGACCGAAGAGAGGAAGCAGCTGTGAATGTGCCCACAGCTCTCGCCAGCACTGCGGGGAGCCGGCCCCTCACGCGAGGAAGCGGGGCCGGAGGAGGGGCTGCAGGCAGGAGACCCGCGTGGGTGCAGGCGCACCTCACAGCCTGCGGGGAGCAGGGCTGGGCCGACGCCCTCGTCTGGGTGGCTCTTCCCATGCTCCCCGTTCCCCAGCGCCTGCCCTGATACCTTCAAACATCACACAGTCTACACGACAAACAAGAAAAAGGAGTCGCTTCTACGTGTTATTAAAAGACACTTTAAAACACCAAGACTCCAAACAGTATGACTTTGGGGTGTGGGTGGTGGAGGCCGGGGGTTGGGCTTGACGTCTTGGGCTCCGGGAAGAAAGGGATTCTCTCCTGCCCTGCAGAGCAGTGACGGAGCAGCATCTGAAGAACGTACAGAATGGTCTTACCCGTGCCTGGGCATACAACAGGAGCCTAATAATAAAAACTGGTCACCTTTGCTCTGTGCCAGGCCCTAGGCTAAGCAATGAGAGACAGTCCTGACTTCATGCAATCCCCATAAAGATCCTACAGAGGGAATGCTCCCATTCCACAGATGGAGAGACTGAGGCTCAGAAAGGAAGTGACGGGCCCTGGGTCCTTCAGGCAGGTCGGGCTGACTCCCTGTCCCCGCCCAGCTGAAGGGCTGGCCTTCTCCAAGGTCCCACCAGCCGCGGCAAAAGCCCTTGGGTGTCGAGGTGTCCCTCAGAGCATGGCCTGTTCCAAGTTCCCTCCCTGTGTGCCCTGGTCAGTGTACCCCAGAGGCCGCCCCTATTCCTGGCTATCACTCCAGACCCCCCTGGGCAGCCTGAAGCCCCATGCTGTGCTCTGTATCTCCGGACAGATTGCTGACTCAGTTTCCCCTCTCATTTCAGCCAGCAGGCCTGGCTGTCTGGCTGCCACTCTGCCTTTCTGAGCCTGTTTCCGTAGCTATGAGATGGGGGGAGTGAGAGCAGCCATGGGGCTGCTGTGAGGATTGATCTGAGTGTTTAATCCTGGCCATCGTGGGTCTGTTCTCCGCAAATGTAGAGAGAACACGCCCACCCATGCCCTCCGCCAGCCGCCAGCCAGGGGAGGTACAGACTCAGGCAGGAAATGCCGTGTGGGTGGGGTGGGCTGCTGGCCCCATCGGAGCTGCGTGGAGAAGGTGCAGTGACCCCCGCCCACACCTGGCCTGGTCTTCCTGCCCCTGTCCTCCAGGTCACACACGCAGACGAGGGGACAGGACCAAAGGCAGATACTTCGGAGCCACATGGGAGACTCGGAGGGGCCTGCACTCACAGGAGTCCCTCTGCCCAGCTCACGGCATCAGGCCTAGGCACATGTTCTCACACCAGACACCATCCGTTTCCTCGGTCAAGGTCACAGGTGAAGCTGCCCCTCCCCTTCCCCTCTCGTAACCCAGCTGCGTGAGCTCACCCACGGCCCGAGAGCTGGGCTGCCGGCTGCTCCCTTCCCAGGACTCCACCCGAGGGCCACGCAATGCTGGGAGAGGCTCTCCCGCTCCAAACCACATAGAGACGCTGGTGGACAGGGCCATTCTCAGAACTGCTCTACTCACCCCACAGTCCACCTCAGCTCCCTCCAGGCCAGTGGTCGGCAAACTCATTAGTCAACAGAGCCCAATATCAACAATACAACGATTGAAATTTCTTTTGAGAGCCACATTTTTTAAACTTAAACTTCTTCTAATGCCACTTTTTCAAAATGGACTCACCCAGGCTGTGGTATTTTGTGGAAGAGCCACACTCAAGGGGCCAAAGAGCCGCATGTGGCTCACGAGCCACAGTTTGCCGACCACGGCTCTAGGACACCCAAGCAGAGCCCGCCCGCAGCCAGGCCCACCCAATACGTCATCACAAACCCATGCACCCGTGGGTGTGGATGCCCCAGAGGACATCTGAACCCAGAGCTTGGACCCCCAGGGGCACCCACACCTGCTGACCTTCTTGGTGTAGCCCATGGCCTTCAGGACAGAATGGTTCAAGGTCTCCAGGGAGGCCAGCACGTCCTCATAGTCCCCCATGTGGTCCACAAAGTAATCTGGGGTAGGAGAGAGCGAAGGTCAGGGGTCACAGGAGGATTCTGCCCCTTTCACCAATCTGGCCACCCCCCTGCCACACACCCCCCTGCCCCGTGCCCCCTATTCTATCTCCCCATTCCCCTCCCTCCACACCTCTTGGTCCCTGCATTGCCTGACCCGGTACCTACCGCACAGTTCTTTGGTGTCCACGTGGCTGCAGAGAGAGAACAGGGGAAGGGGACTCAGAAGCCGGCCTGTGGGGTCCCAACCTCCTGCCCTCCCTCCACAGCGTGCCCGGCCCACACCGCTGGCAGAACGCCTGGTGCCTTCTCTCTTCATTCCATGCTCTGGCCTCGCGAGCCCCACTTTACAGTTAGGTGTGGGGTGAAGGGGAACCCAAGGAAAGGAGAAGGTGGAATGAAGCTTGGGGAGGGGCAGGGTAAGCAGCATTTGCTCTTGATTCAGGGATGGCTTGGGTCAGGAGGGTCAGAGGGATCCTGAGGTGTGCTTGAGGGTTAGGACTGAGTTGATGAAGAGGTTTAATTAGGCAGTCAGAAATGGGATTCAGGTGAAGAAGTAGAGTCACAGGGAGATGAAGCGAAGGAAATATAATCAATAACACTGATAACGATGGATGGTGCAGCCGGATACTGGAAATATTGGAGTGAACACTCTGTAAAGTATCTGATTTTCTAACCACTACGCTGTACACCTGAAACCCATGCAAACTAATATTGAAAGTAAACTGTAATTAAAAGAAAAGGAAGTTAGGTCCTAGCCTGTTTGGCTCAGTGGAGAGCATTGCCCTGCAGACTGAAGGGTCTCAGATTTGATTACGGTCAAGGGCGGAACCTCAGTTACAGGCTCCACCCTCACCGGGACACATGCAGGAGGCAACCGATCAATGTGTTTCTCTCACATGGATATTTCTGTCTTTCTCTCTCTCAAGAAGAAAAACAATTGAAAAATATCCTCTGGTGAAGATTTAAAAAGAAAGAAAGAAAGAAAGAAAGAAAGAAAGAAAGAAAGAAAGAAAGAAAGAAAGAAAGAAAGAGCCCCAGCCAGTTTGGCTCAGTGGATAGAGCATCAGCCTGCGGACTGAAGGGTCCCAAGTTCGATTCTGGCCAAGGGCACATGCCCAGGTGTGAGCTTGATCCCCAGTAGGAGGTGTTGGGGGGGCAGCTGACTAATGGTGTTCTCTCTCATCATGTTTCTATCTCTCTCTTCCTCTCCCTTCCTGAAATCAATAAAAATATATTTTAAAATAATAAAATAAAATAGAGTTAGGATGAGCATTTGGTTAGAGTTTGGTTTCAGATGGAAGCTGGTGAGAACACGATGACAGAGTTCGTGTTGGGTCGGGCATAGAGCACCAGGTCCGGGCAGAACTGGGCTGAACTAGCCAAAGGGTGACGGAGCCGCCAACTTCCCTTCATGATCCAGTGTGATTTCTGCAAAGTCTAGGGTCTCTCTCTGCTCAGCCACACGTGCTCAGAAAGGACCAGCTTGCCAATGGGGCCTCTGACTTCTGGGTTAAGTAGTTCGGGGGCTCAAGGGTGGGTGATGGAGACTGACCCCGGCAGAAGGAAGGCGCCTCGTCCCCGCCCCCGGGCGCCGGCTCCAGCTCGGGGACCCCAGCTCAGGGACCACTCACTTGGTGTTGTCCGAGTCGATGGTGTGGAAGAGACCCTCCAGCTCCGTCTCGTTGAGGACGCCATCTGCAAAGAAGAGCTGGAACTCCTCCAGGGACAACTTCCCGTCGTCTGCAAAGGAGGAAGCAGAGCAGCTGGTGTGCGAGCGACGGGACGTCCCCAAATCCAAAATATTCCCGAACAAACGGACGGACGGAGAAGTCCGGCCAGGGCACCCCGAATTCGCCAGCATATGCCAGTTCACGGGGAACTACAGATGCATGCAGTAAATTCCCAAGCCACAGGCCCACACCTGCTTAAGGTAGTCCTCAATCCCACACACACAAGCGGCAGCTCCTCTGCAGGAATTCGCTCAACAGCCAGCACCTGCCCGCAGGCAGGCTCCCGGGACCGGCCCCGCTGACCACCTGGGCCGGCCCGGTTACACCTACCACACCTGCGAGAGGTGGGTCCGAAGACGGGCCGTCTGAGGGTCTCTCTCTCTCTCTCCCACCCAAACACTCCGATAATCTCCCCACATTTAAATGAGCTCCAACGTCAGCGCCCACATCCTGATTTGGGGAGAGGAAAGCCCCCTCCCCACGGTGCCCCATCCACTCCACTCGGCACGTGTCCGGCCCAAACCTGTGAATGGGCTGATGTGTGGCGGCTGCCAACAGTCGGCACGAGTCCCGGTGCCACAGATGCTGCCTTAACCTAAAGGTGCCAAACCACGAGGAGAGGAGGGGCCTGGCCTGGGCCCAGCGCTGGCCCGCCCGCCCCGGGCCAGGAGCTGTGGCTCTGGGATGCGGAGGGCGAAGGGCATCGGGCTCTGTGAAGGGCGCCACGGCTGAGGCATGCCACCTGCCTGCCCACCCTCCTCCCTCCCCCTCCCCTCTGCTCTCACCTGCAGCCCCCCTGGCACAGCAGCTGGCAGGGGAGCTCTCTGAGCTGAGGGCACAGGGGCCTCTGAGGCAGACCTGTGGCTCCAGGAGAGACAGCCCTCACGTTCCCCCCCCGCAGCTCCTCCCACCCGGGCACACCTGCTCAGAGAAGGCCTGAGAGCTGCTCTCCACCCCGAGCCAGCACCTCCTCAACAGCCTGCTCCTCTTAAAGGAGCCATGCCTGCGGGCGGCCGTGTCACCCTGTGCAGACTCCCTCCCATGGCGGCCAGCCAGGCCCAGCAGGCCCACCTGGCACCTCTGGGTGGATAGGAAGAGGTGCCCTTTCCCGGTTGGGGGTGAGGGACTTGCTCAGTGTCAGGGCACATAGTTGCGAACGGATGCAGGCTGGGTCTGAGGCTCTCGATTCCTTTAGGCCCGTGGTCGGCAAACTGCGGCTCTTGGGTGTGGCTCTTCTACAAAATACCACGGCCTGGGCGAGTCTATTTTGAAGAAGTGGCGTTAGAAGAAGTTTAAGTTTAAAAACATGTGGCTCTCAAAAGAAATTTCAATCGTTGTACCGTTGATGTTTGGCTCTGTGGACTAATGAGTTTGCCGACCACAGCTTTAGGCAGCTGCCCTCGTGCAGGCCACAGCTTGCCGACCTGAGTCTAGAACGAGGTTGTTCTTACATTTTAAAGGCGCCGGAGCTCCCGTCTCTGCTCCCAGCAGCTCTGTGTGGGCTCATCGCGGGGCTAAAGGACAAGCTGGGGAGGGAGACCCTCACATCTGTCCTCACTTCCCTCCCCACCATCTTGCATGTGGGGAGGAGGGGGGAGAGTAAGGATACTAGTGTGAGCTGTGCGAGTGCTGGTGCCTGGGTGCCTGGGGGGAGGGCAAGGTCCCGGATGCCTGTCCAGGCTCAGGTTTCAGTGTCAAAGAGGAAGGACGAATTTGTAACTTTCAAAACAAAGTAGGAGTCCCCCCACACTCCCACTCAGAAGGCCCAGCAACCAACCACGTGCTATGCCCGCTGTGAAATAAACTCTCAGCTGCGGGTCTTAGTCCTCTGGGCCAGAGGAGACGTTCCGAGTTCTGTTTGGCAGATCGGTGATAAAGCCAGGAACCACGGCGCACAATCAGGGCAGACACAGGGGGCTCGTGCTGCGTAGTCACCCATCCAGGCCCCACCACACCCCCATTTCACAGAGCCGTACACCGAGGCACAGAGTGGTTCAGGGACTTGCCCAGGCCCCACAGCTGGAGCTCGAACCCAGGCCATCTGGCTCCTGAGGCCACGCTCCCACCCAACGTGAGGCAGGGTCTGTGGCAAGAGCTCCAGCCACAGGGTGACGAGGAGAGGCCGAGGCCCAGCCGGAAGGGAGCCGGGATGGACTCGTCCTGTCTGCCGTGGGCACGGCCGGGGGTCTCCCTGCTCTCACACCCTCCTTCCTGTCAGGTGCCCTGTTGTCTGCACTCAGGAGAGCGGCAGGGCGGGCCCGGCCTCCTGAGCACAGTCTCCCAGCTGACATTTACCTCAGCGCCCCCCACAGCCCTGATGAACCAGATGAGCTAATGATGGAGGCAACCTCTCCCACCCAGCGCCCGCCCCCCCCCCCCGCGCCCCCATTAGACCAGCAGGCCTGGCACCTCCACTCAGAGGGCCTTCTGCAGGTGCCTCTCCCAATTAGCATGAGCTCAGCCTCCAGTCACAGTGACCTTTCAAATGCCAGGAGTCTGCATCCCTGCAGAGACGGGCAGCCCAGCAGGTTCCGCCTCCATCTCTGTGAGATCTCTGTCCTCAGAGCCTACGGGCCAGACAGCACTCAGGCTCCTGTAATCCTGCGGCCCATCCCTTCCAGCCTCAGCCTCAGCCTCAGCCTCAGCCCCAGCCCCAGGCCACACTCCACCTTCACCCCCCACATCTTACTCCGCTGGGTGCCAGGGAGGGCCTGCGTGAGCCTCTGTGTGTCCCTGGCCTACACCCACCCCCACCCAAGTGCACACCATCCCTGCCCACACAACGTATTCAAACTGTGCTGGACGGAGTCCGAACCCATCTGCCCCTCCCCCCACCTGAGGCCCTGCAGCCTGTCCCCTGCCCTCGCCAGGCCTGCCGCTGTCAGCTGCGGGGAGGGGTACGCTGCCACCTATGCCGGCACAGCAGAGCGAAGACCACGGGAGAAGGCCCGGGAAAGTCTCCGTGCCCCACGCTCAATGGCACCGCAGCCTGTGCAGCAAACCCAGGCCCAAGGAGAGAACCCAACCCCTGTGGGCAGACCGAGGCCCCTCGCGGCAGCCCTCTGCGCTGGGGGCTGGCTCGGTCACCCCCACTTACAGGTGGGGAAACTGAGGCCAGAGAGTGTGGGGTGGGAAGTGGCTGAGCCAGGGCTTGAACCCAGGCACTCTCTGTGACAGGGCAGGGCCCCGCCCCCCTCCACAGACTCCGCCCCACACACACACCTTGACCGTGGTGACACCTTAACCCTGGTGACACCCCACGGCCATGGCTGGGAAGCCTGGAGGCCGCAGAGGAGCAGCAGCTGGCCTGTGTGAGGCCAGCAGGAGAGGAGCTGAGAGCCCCCCATTGTGCTCAGGGCGGGCCCACGGCCTCTGATTGGGAGCAGGTAACGGCGAGGAAAGCCCCGCTGTGCCTGAGACCAGGGTGCCACCCGCCACGCACGCACGCACGCACGCACGCCCACCTATACTTGGAGACCACAGCCAGTCCCTGCTGCATCCCAGGCCACACAGTCACACTCGCATTACTAAACCCATCACCTAAATCTGCAGGCACTTACCACGCACCTACTGTGTGCAGGGCGCCAGGCCCACGGCAGGGACAAGCCTCTCACCCTCTCTCTAATCTCTGACAGCTCAGGCCATGACGCCACCACCATTTCCTGAGCCTCTTGAAGCCCCGCCCCCCATCTCTTTCCTTTCTCCTGGCTCCATGTGCAATTGCTCTGATGGTCCTTTGGTCCAAGAGACCCAGGAGCGGCTATCCCTCCCAGGATGGAGGTCCAGGGGTGGAGACCCTGGGCACTGGCTTCCAGCCAGGCCTGCGCACCCCCTCTCCCTACCAAGACCTCATGTTCCATCCCCCACACCAAGGGGGGCAGGTCAACTCCCAGGGGCAGGGAGAAAGGGGGTGCTGGGACCCAGGTTAGAGCTGTGGCCTTGAACTCCAGCCTACGAAGGGGAGGGGCTGGGCCTGATGCTCGGGGCCCTGAGGGGCAGGCACCATCTGTTCCCACTTTGATCCTCAATCAGCTTGTTTTCAATAAGTGAACAAACACAGAGCACTGCTTACCTTTCCCTAAAAACCCCCATCCCCACACCTCCCTGTGTATTCCCACCAGCCTGGGCAAGTAGACAGGTGAGGTGTTATCACCCCACTTTACAGATGGGGAAACTGAGGCCCGGAGAGGGAAGTGCCTTGGTTAAGGCCACGTAGAGTGGCAATGGGCCGGAGAAGGAGGACTGCAGCACTTACAGGAAGTTATCCCACTCTTGGCCATCCCTGCGAGGCTCGGGCCTTGGGGAGCATGGTTATCCTGACGCAGACGGGAGCCTACCAAGCAGTCACAGGGAGTGCCAGGCGTCCTATGGCAAAGCCATGTGCTGCTCTCATGTCGGGGAGGCTGTGTGATGTGGGGGAAGGGCTGGGGTCTGCAGCAAAGCGCCCGCCTCTGCGCAGCTGGGCTACCCCGGGCAAGTCACTTAACCTCTCTGAGCCACGGCAGCGCGGCTAGAACAGGCAGTGCCCCCTGCACCAGGCCGCGGGAGGAGGCCTTGTGCTAGGGCCTGGGAAGGGCCCACAGTGAGGCTGGGGGCTTCCTTCCAGCCCGGCTGCGTGCGGGTTAAAGCGCCAAGCATTTCCCATGGGTGAGACACCCTGGGTCACAGACATCAATTCCCAGAGTCCGTATGGCATCCCCGCTGTGTGGGCACCACGGGAGTCCCGTGGTACAAAAGGGAAACTGAGGCACAGAGCAGAACCTGGACTTGGCCTTCAGATTTCAGAGACCCTGTCCCCTTAACCCTCAGGTCCACTCTCTACCCCTGGCCCTTTCCCTCGAGGCGTCAGGGCGGAAAGAGCCAGATCCTCACTCAGGGGCCAGCGTGGGAGGGACACTCACCGTTTTTGTCTGCGCGGCGGAAAATCTGCAGGGAAGAGAGACGGGTGGAGTCAGCCCCGGGCAGAGAGCAGGTGCCCCCCAGATGCCTCCTCCTCCCCAGGAGGCCTGGGAAACTGAGCCCCCACCTCCTCCCTCCCCAGGGAGGGGACCCCGCCGGCTGGGATCCAGGGTGGGAGAGGCGGGGATGCTACAGGCAGAGCCCTCCCCGCCGCCCGGGCGGAAGCAGCTGCCCACTCTCCCTTCTGTGCCGCCAGCCGGCCCACAGCCACGCCGACAGACACATGCACACGCGTGTGGACGCTCTGGCTCACACTGTCCACATGCCTGGGGGTGCACCCCCAGCACCATCGGTCCATGGGGCTTGGCCCATGGTCGCACCCTGAGTGGCCCTCCCTGAATTTGTGTCCCGTGGCCACTGCCACAGGCCTCGCTTCCTCGCAGTGCTCCTGAGCAGAGCTGTCTGCTGAAGGAACCTCCAGGCGTGGCCACTGGACCAGCCAGAGGCAGGAGGGGACGTGTGGGCGGGGTAGAAGCAGGTTGACAGGAGCTCAGAAAACCAGTTGCCACATCAGGTAGGAAAGAGGAGGGGCCTGCCCACGCCCCCACCCCCACTCCCACCCGACCCCCAGCCTGAGCCTAAAGACCAGGTAACTCCTCCTGGTATTTCAGGGCAGGTACCCCTGCTGACAGGAGTAGAAGGTGGAGGACCATCATCTGGACCACCCACCTCTGGGATAAAGGACAGAGACTCCCCTGCAAGCAATGGGGGGCATCCATTATCCCCCTGAGGCCTGGACACACTGAAGCAGCGGCTCAGGAGGGCTTCTTGGACATCAGCCCCTTCCTTAGCTGAACCCCGATGCCAGGGTCCTGGCAGGAGCCCCTGTGGCTGGGCAGGAAGGGAGCCTTCTCTGGCCCCCTCCCAGGGGGCCCACACTCCTGCTCTGAGGCTGGGTCCCACCCTCAGGTGCCTGAGTGTTAGTGAAAGGCATGACCACTGCTGTGGCTCCAGTCTGCAGGAGCACGGACCTCCCCCATCTGCTCATCACCCAGCTCCCAGATGGGGACGCGGAGGCTCAGAGCCCGCCGGCAGCACTGTAGGACCCTGGAGGCCGCCCCCCCGGGCTGTTGGAGGAGAGAATGGGAGGGGCCGCCCAGGGCTTCCAGCTGCCAGCTCTGCTGGGGTCTGGAGAGAAGGTCCAGGGTGTGGGGGCTGTGCATGTGAGAGTGTTTGGGGCACCAGGACCCCAAGCCGTCCCAGCAAAGCTCCACCTTCCCGCCCTGCCCGGCCCTCTCTGCCCAGAGCCAGCTGTGGGTTCCAGGAGAGAGAAAACCCACTCGTGCTCACATGTGCAAGTGCAAGCATTCCCCCCCCCCCCCAGAATATCCGCCCGCCCTGCTGGGACATGCACCCCTCACTGTCTCTGGGGGTATGGGATGGGCAGGAAGCCTCTCCACTGCCTCTGGGCACCCCACCTCTGGGCACCCCACCTCCCCATCCCTGCCACCCACCCTACAGAATCTCCCTCCCATTGGGGAGTGGGAGGTGGGGCAGGCCTCCCGCAGGAAGGCAGTTTGGGTTCCAGAGAGGATGGGGGAGGGGAAGACTAGGGAGGGGGGCAGAATGGACAGAGGGCATTCAGAGTGGCATGGGGGTGGTGATGGAGCTCAGAAGGGTCCAGACTCAGGGCTCCTGGGGGTGGTCCCAACTCTCTGGAAAGGAGAAGCAAAGCCAGAGGTGGGGAGTGGGCTATGCTTGCAAAGAGCAGGTGCCGGGCGAAAGGAGCTTGGGGGTGAGAATACAGGGGCTCAGGGGCTAGCGAGGAAGAGAACGGTGGTCTCAGGAAAGTGGCGCTCAGGCAGGGAGGGACCCAGATGGAGAGCAGGGGCGGCCGGGGCTCCCGTCCTGGGAAGGAACGGGGTGAAGGATGGTGTGCAGGGCTGGGAAAGATGGGGATTTGGCCAAGACCAAGTAGGGGGATGGTGGCCAGGTTGAGGGGGGCTCCAGGATCCGGGCTCGGGGAAGAAGGGAATCCCTAGAAGCTGAGGGAGGGGATGTAAGGAGGGTGTGCGTCCAGGTCGAGGGACCAGACTGGACCGGGATGGAGATGGATGGGAATGTGGAGGGGCTGGGGGGCCCATGCTCTGGGGCGCAGAAAGGCCGGTACCTGCTCCGCGCTGCCGGCCGAGGGGGATGGGCTGGGGGGTTTCCTGTTCAAGGAAGAAGGGGACCCCCCCGCCGCGGGTCCCGGTTGCGCCGAAGGGCGGTGTTGGGGGTCGCCCCACGGAAAGATGGGGCTGGGGGTCCCGGCCCGCGCGCGTACTCACGTCCAGGATGACAGCGGTGCCCCCGCGCAGCGAGGGGGGGCCCGGGCAGGGGCCGGGGTCCCCGGCGGGGTCCACAGCGAGGGCGTCGGGGGCGTCGGGGACCAGCGGCACCCGGGGCTCCCCCATCCTGGCGCCCACCCAGCGCAGCAGCCCGCCCAGCGCCCGGCCCTGCGGCGGCGGCTCCCGGAGCAGCCTGTGCGCGCCGGCCCTGCACAGGCGCGCCGCCCGCTCGCACATCGCGCCGCGCCCGCCGCGCCCGCCGCCGCCCGGAAGCCCGCCGACCCCCGCCTCCCGCCGGCCCGCCCCCGCGACCCCCTCCCCGGCGCCGCCGCCGCCGCCGCCCGCCCGCCTCTGCCCCCGCGGCCGCGGCCAGCGCCGGGACGGGCCGGCGCCGGGGGACCGGGCGGGGACGGCCGTGCGCTCCGCCCGGACCCCGAGCCACGTGCCCTGTGTCCACCCCCCACCCCCTGCGGCCGGCGCGGCGGCACAGGACTGCCCGCGGGATCGCTGATCTGGGGGCTGAGTCCCGGCCGGGCCGGGGTGGGGGCTGCCCAGTGGTCGGAGGGTGGGGGGGGGTCTGGGTGCGGGGGGGGGAGGGTCCTCGGCCCCCCCCCCCCCAATCTCCCTCTGCACCTCCTCCCATGTCCCCCTATTCGCCCCTTTGGGCGCCGCCGCAGGGGCCGGAGCGTGGTGTCCAACGAGACCCGAGCGCCCTCTGCTGGCTGCAGCTCCCAGGCTCGGTGCCCACTCCCTGGGCTTCCACCACCACTTCTGGGGCACCCCTCCTTCCCTCCCGGGGGGCATGAGGCTCCCACAGACCTCCCCTCCCAGAACCAGTCTTTCCCCCAGAACACCCTCCTCCCCGCACTTCTAGGCCTTGGGTCCCAATGATGGGCAAAAGGGATGGGAGTCGTCTGCCTCCTGGAGCTTACAGAGGACTGGTCAGACAGATAGATGCTGGGCAGATTCCACAAATAAATGAACCATTAAAACGGAATGGCTATGAAGTGGTGGAACCTTGGGCCAGGAGCTGGTAATTTCCCTGATGCCCACGGAGGGTCTGTATCAGAATGTGATTCTCATGCTGAGAGAGTGGAAGGAAGAGGGAGGATTAAAGGAGGGGAAAGTGGGCTGGAGACCTGCTGTGCAAAGGCCCTGTGGCCCGTGAAGGAAGTGTGGTGAGCACGAGGGACTGACAGAGGGGCAGCAATGTGGTGTACCCCCTTCCTCACACCCCCTCCCGCCCCTAACACACGGCCCTCACATCCGCCACACGTGGGGCGCCAGCACCAGGGCCTCCCCCCCATTGCTTCCCCCAGCTTAGAGCGGGCTCCTGGGCACCAGGCTCTCCCCCAGGCACAGGCTCTCAGACACTGAGTAGAGGCAGGTGCTGGTTTTATTTGGGACCGGATTTTGGAAGGAGCGAGTCTGCAGTACTCCTGGCTCAGCGCTCTGCTGGCCCCGATGGTCCCCGTTCACACTGGCACCTTTCACCCCAAGTTGCAGGTCTGGGCCGCAGTTCCCCTCCCTTGGGCTCTGGTCTGGGTCTGTGGGGCCGGGGTTCCCCACTCTTCATCCGAGGAGCCTGTGGCACGAGCCCATGGCTACTCCTGTCTCCTGCCTCCTGCCGGGAGAGGCCTCTCCCTCAGGGCCTGTGTGTCCAGCGGGGCTGTGGTGATCTCCCCTCCTCCTTAGGGCCTGCGTGTGAGGACGCCAGGCCGAGTGCTAAGGCGGCTTCAGGCCGAGCGCTAAGGCGGCTTCCCGGCCTCCTTCCTCAGCAGGGAGCTGGCCACGGCCAGGGCCCCGCCCTGCACAAACCGCACGAAGTTGTCCCCGGCCAGCGGCCCCAGGGCGTACAGGCCCTCCTGCTGCGTGCTCTGGTAGGTGAAGGGCTCCACGTCGATGGGGTTCCTCTTGGCGCTCACGGGCTGGTCGGGGTCCACAGCGAGGTGGGCGCCCGCCCCGGGGAGGAAGGAGAGGTCGGGGTGGGAGCCGATGAGCACCAGCACCAGGGAGAGGCCGAAGACCTTCTGCAGGCCCTGCGGGTCCTGGAACAGCGCCTGGCGGTGCTCCGTGAAGAGCAGCAGCCGGTGCTCGGGGAGGCTGCGGTAGCCCTCGTAGGGGCTGGGCGACAGGATGGACTGCTCCCGCATCATCTGGTGCACCTTGTGGTACTCGGGGTACAGCATCTTGGGCAGCTGGTTGAAGACCAGGCCCGGGTCGTCCACGGGCCGGCGGAAGGCGTGGATCACGGGGATGTTGTAGTGGCGGGCGTACAGCACCGCGTCGGCCGCCGACAGCCCTGCGCCGATGATGAGGACAGGGTCCGAGTCCGGGGTCACCGTGCCGGCCCCGATGGCCGCCTCCAGCGCCGACAGCTCGTGGTGGACAAAGGGCAGGGTCTCCCCGGGGACGCCCAGCCGGGCCGGGCTGTCCGACGTGCCCGTGGCCAGGACCACGTTGTGGGCGCGCAGGGAGAAGGGCTGCTGGCTCTGGTCCTCGGCGGTCAGGAAGCCGCTCACCTGGAAGAGGGGGCTGGGGTCTCGGGCCCCGGAATCACTGGGCTCAGGGATCCCCCGCTCCACAGCCGTGACCACGGCGCCGGACACAAAGCTCTGGCCCAGGCCCTTCTTGTTCACGTAGTCCCTGTAGTAGTGAGCGATGTCCCCGGCGGTGGCCCGGCTGTTACGGAGGCCTCTGCGGGGAGGGACACAGGAGGGCGAGTGACCGAGAGGGGGCTGGGGTCCGGGCTCGATCAGGTGGGACAGGGCTGGCATCAGGCCCGGGAGCCGACTACCAGCCTTAAGGCTTGGCCAAGTGGCTCAGTCTCTCTGGAGCCTCAGTCTCCTCTGCTGTAAAATGGGGCTAATAGAGCATCTTATTAGGGTGGGGACTGAGTGTGGCCTCTCAAGGAAGATGGCCTGGGTCTGTCCCCTGACCCTGCCTCCGGGGAGCTCCTTCCTCAAACTCTCTGCCTCAGTTTCCTCATTGCAAAATGAGGGCGACCATGGTGACAGCACCTATTTCGTGCCATTGCTGAGAGGGTTACACGATGATGCAAACGTAGGGCTTAGAAGAGAACCTGACAGGCAGCAAGAGCCATATGAGGGTCGGCCGCTATTCATCCCTCTAAGGACTAAGTAATACCATACACACGTGTGGTAGGTTCCATTTTTATATAGTTCAGGAACAGCAAAAGCTCATCTGTGGAGTTACAGGTCCACACAGTGGTTGCCTGGGGGGGGGGGAGGGGAATAGGGTAGGGGGTATTGGGAGGGGTCTGAGGGGGTTCTGGGAAGATGGGACCTATTTCTTGAGTCCGGGTGGCTGAATGCAGGTGTGACCACTGAGAAATTCCATCCGCCTGTACACAATGTGTACACATGTGGGTTGTGGACGTTTCTATACATGTATATATTTCAGTAAACAAGTTGACTTTAAAAATAACCCATGTAAAGCACTTGGCATAGTCCCCAGCGGGGCCTATTGTTTATTGTCACCATCACCACCATCATCACCACCATCATCACTGCCACCACCTCCTCTGGGGTGATGGCCACAGGCCAGTGTGGCTGGTGTGGAGCTGTGGCTCCTCTCAGCTCCTCCCTGCGATCCCTCAGGGGAGTCACTTCCCCCACCTGTGGACTTACTGTGAGATATGAACTCACTCAGAGGAGTCCTGAGTGACAGCCAACACATCCCCCAGGGCCATCCAGCAACCCATCTTAGTCTGCTACTAAACTGGGACTCTGGCATTTGTTCCTGGCTTTCTTACTCCCTTCCTCTGGTTTAAAGCCCTGTCCTAAGACGATGTGACTTCGGTGTTACTTACAGAATGGGCACATGCGAAGGAATGAAAGCCCCATGACCGGTCAGTAGCTTAAGAACGAGGCAGCCCTGAGGGCAGGGAGGCATCTGCCTGCTTTTTTGGCTCAGCCGTCTAAGCACGAGGCCCTGCACGTAAGAACAGTCAATGGAGCTGCTTCCGCTCCCTGGGGAACATTGTGTGGCCACGGAAAAGGGTGGCTGCGCGTACTGTGGTCGCCACATGAGACGCTATCACGTGATGTTAAATTTTGAAAGTGGGCTATGAAAGGCCCTGCCTACAAGTGAAGTCTGAGTTCCCGTCTGTTAAAACATCACTGTGTGTTAGGTGTTTTCCTACCAGATGGATAGATCGTGGCAGGCTGGGTGCCTGCTGGGCGGGAGTGCCATGTGCCCTGTCACAGCCCCTGATGGGGGAGGAAAGCGGGCGGCCGCCACACAGCGGGGATCCTCTGCCTGGACCACTGGGCAGCTCTAGGCCTCAGGCCCCAGGATGAGCAGGGGCGGGAATGCATTTACTTAGGGATTTAACTTTCTCCAGGGCATCAGAGGTGTGCAGTCTGGGCTTTGGGAGAAGAAACAAGATGGGAGGAAAATACGCCGAGATGTGGCAGCAATGGATACAGGTGTGGGGTTGGGCGACTTGTCATTCCTTTCTCAGTTTTCTCTATGGTTGTGCTTCTAATGCAAAAGCATGAAAAAAAAAAAATGGTAATCTGTATATATAAAAGCTTAAGCAACAGAAAGCCCAAACAACTGGCCGACCAGTCGCTATGTTGCTCACTGACCACCGGGGGCAGATGCTCAACATAGGAGTTGCCACCTCGTGGTCAGTGCACTCCCACAGCTAACCTCCTGCAGTCCCACCCCCACCCCCTCACCCCCTGCCGGCCCACCCCAAATGGCCCCGATTGCCAGCCAGGCTGAGGGACCCCACTGGTGCATGAATTGCCAGCCAGGCTGAGGGACCCCCACCGGTGCATAAATAAAGGAGTGCATCCTTTCAGGGGACCTAGAAGGAAGGAGATTGTTCCAGGCCAGGCTCAATATTGTGGGAGGGGCCACAGGGAGGCCTGAGGACTGGGGAGGGTAGGGCAGGGTGTGGGGGCAGTGGAGGCTGTTTCCTTGGAGACTGGGATGCTATAGGAAGGCCAAGTCAGGGGGTTATGGGAGAGAGGAGGGAGCACTAGACAAGGAGTCCTGGGGTGAACCCAGTGCTGTCTGTGTGGTCCGGCACAGATCCCTTCCCACTGGAGCCTCGATCTCCCCACCCAGACCCTCGGAGTAAGAGGAAGGCAGACTAGATGATCCTTGGAGCCCCTTTACCTCAGGCTCCTGGGCTAATGTGGGGGGTGGGCCTGGGTCTCCCTGCCCACCCGGGCTCCCCGGGCTGCCTCACCTGCGCTTCCTGCGCATCCAGTCCTTGACCTCCAGGTCCGGGAGCCCCATCCACTGGCCTTGGCTCAGGGTCACCATGGAGCCTTCAATGGACTGTGTGGAAAAGGGCCCTTAGGTTCAGACCTCTGCCAGCCCCCAACCCACCTGGGGTGGAGGAGGGGCCTGAGCTGACTGGGAGAGGGAAGTGAGAGAGGAGGAGGAGAAGGGGAAACTCGTAGGAAAGCTGGGAAATGGAACAGTCCTAACCCTGACTCAGGGAGGGAGTCTCCGCAAGACTTTTTGTAGATTCGGCCTGAACCGCCTTGCCCCCCTCCGGGTGGGTCCACTTACGTGCCAGGCTCCCCCAGGCAGGTTCCGGCCCAGGACCACGTGGGGGATGGCCCGCTCCTTCTGGAGCTTCCAGGTGAGGACGGACTCCGTGTCCCCCCCGAAGTCTGTGTCTGGGCGCAGGAGGGCATCGAAGAGCAGGGCCACGGGGCTCTGGCACCGGCCCTCGAGGCCTTCAGACAGGTAGTCCAGGTCCTGGGAGGGAGGGCACAGGTCAGGGGCCACCGGGGGAGCTGGGGAACGCTGCCTCTCAGAGATATGTTACGGGGCCTACGAGCCCGGCAGCTGCCCTCTGCCTGTCTGACTTTGCCGAATCCGGTGTCTCTCAGATGTGCGTGAGTAGGAACATTGTCTCTGCACGTTATGCTGAGGAACTAGTGTCCTGTTTTGAGACAGAGTCTTGAAAAACGCTGGTCTAGACCAAGCGTCGGCTTACTTCCTCATCCACCAGCTCGAGGGTGGCAGGTGGGTGGTTGGTGACCTGGAGGACGGGTGCTGCCTGGAAGGGGGTGCTGGGAGGTAATGTGTGGCCTCCACGAAGGCAAGGAGCCAGGAGGGGATCTGTCAGCCCCGCTGGGCAGGAGGCAGGAGGCAGAACTCGAGACCCGGGGCGGGCTTCTCAGCCCCGCACCCCAGGCATGGGGCTGGGTCAGGCTTTATGGTGGGCGCTGCTCTGTGGCTGTGAGAAGTCTCACAGCATCCCTGGCCTCCGGCCCCTAAGCCGGAGAAGCATCCCTCCAGGGCGACCACTGACATTGTCTACGGGTACTGCCAAGCGTCCCCTCGGGCGCAGAATCGCCCCCACTTTAGGACCAGTGGTGTGGGGGCGGTGAGACAAGCTGGTGTGGCATTTGTAGGTCTCGAAGGATATTCCTGGTTTCTCTTTCAGTTTCCATGACTCATCTTGTGGCCTCTCACATTCCAGGTTTGGGCTTGTGTCTAACAAATGCATACTTTGGTGTCTGCCCTGGGAAAGCTGGGGTGTGCCCCCCCCCGCCCCCCCGGAGCTCTGGCCCACCTGGTCCAGGATGGAGACCCCCTGCGCCTCGGCGAGCTTCCTCTGCAGCAGGGGGTGCGGGTGGACGGCATCGGGCTTCACGTAGGGGGTGTAGCCGGAGAGCAGGTAGGACAAGCAGATGCCGGAGGGGCCATTGCCTGGGGAGAGAGGAGGGATGGAAGGTCACTGCTGTCCAAGGCTTCCCTCTTGATCTGACTTGTTCACTGAATTACTCCTCATTCATAAAAATAAAACATTTATCAAGCCCTTATCATGTGCCAGGCGCCGTGCACACTGACTCTCAGTAACAAAGTAGTAACAACTGTTGAGAGCCTACAGGTACCAACAGCAGTGCTGTCAGGCCCCCAACCAACAGCAGTACTACATAAGCAGCAGTGAAGGTGTAATAGCCGCTGACATTTATTCAGTGCTTACTGTGTGCCAAGCTCTGTGGTAAGGGGCTTTAATAATAAAATAATAATAAACTGACAGATGCTGCTGCTGTACCAAGGCCCTGAAGTGCCTGCATTATCCCACTGAGCTCTCCCAGGGGCCTTGGCGAGGTACATGCTACTCTTTTCCTCCTTTTATGCTGAAGGAAGCTGGGGCACAGAGATGTTCATTAACTTGCCTGTGGCCACACAGCACCACCACCCAGAGTCTGCGATAACTAAGAACTAATCCTGTCTGTCTGTCAGATGACAAGTGAGATAGTACAGTACAGACTGCTGTGTGCTCAGGGATTGGGGGGGAAAGGGGTGAGCTAAACCACAGTGGGCCTCCCGCCCCCCAAGTCTGAATAAATCTCACAGTTTATCTGTGGAATTTCTTGGGCAAGACATCGCTTCTATTCTTATCTCCCGTTTTCTTTATCTTGCTCTATTCAGAATAGTACGCAGATGGAGAACACTATGAAAGGACCGCTTGGAATTGCTGATGCTTAACTGCTTTGACTTACAAAAATGAACACATTTCATGTGGTTCAACCTGACGTTTGCATGGCGGAGGGGCCGTCTGTCCTCTGTTTTTGCAGACCTGAGGACAGGACTACATGCTTGGGCTGTGCGCCCCCTCACTCAGCACCCAGCCTGGCGCCAGGTATGGGAGAGCACAGACAGAGGACCCAGCCCCCGCCCCATGCTGCCCTGGCCTTGCAGGTTCCTAGAAGGGTTACATGAATGAAATGTAAGCACAGCACAGCCGGCATGGCTCAGCCGATGAGGGTCGACCTGTGAACCAGGAGATCGTGGTTCAGTTCCCCGTCAGGGCGTAGGCTTGGTTTATGGGCTCAGTCCCCAGTGTGGGGCATGCAGGAGGCAGCTGATCAGTGATTCACTCTCATCATTGATGTTTCTATCTCTCCTTTTCCCTCTTCCTTTTCCTTCCTCTCTGAAATCAATAAAGATAAATATATAAATTGTAAGCATAGCACTGGGCACAGAGTGAATGCTCAGTGGCCAATTTTAAAGACAACAATAAGTGAATAAACAAATAAATAAGTAAATAAATAAGTAAATAAATAAATAAATAAATAAAGGCCGGGTCTGGCCCTGCCTGGCCGTTGACCGCTGATACTGGAGGCACCTGGAGAGCTCAGGGCAGCCCCTCCCGTCCAGGGCAGCACTCACCGATAATGATGACTTTGAGGGGCTCAGAGCTGCTGGCTCCCAGGTGGTCCTTCTTCCAGTTGCTCATGGCCGCGTCTGACGCTGGCAACTGACCTGGAGCCACAGGGAAGGAGGGGCCATTGGGTGCGTGTTGGGTGTCATGTGGTCCCTTCCCACCTGTAGTATATATAGGGTGTCCTCCTGTGGCCCTCGGGGTCGGATTCAAAGTTTTCCCAAGGGATATAAACATTCCAGTCTCTCTCCCTTTTGGCTTCCTCACACCTGCTCCATTCCAGCCAGGCCCTTTCCCCTCCCCCAATTCTTCAGGGTCACCTCTGCCTCTCTGAGCCTCAGTCTGCTCTCCCCACCTCACCAATGGGACAGCAGCAATTCCCGAAGCCTGTTATTCACTTGCCATGAGGCCCCCTCTGCCCAGCCTGGAGGGCCGGCCCGCACAGCACTTCTGTGCCAGCCATAGCGCCAGCCTGCCATCCAGCTGCAGGGCTTGGGTGTAGGTTGCTGGACTTTGGAGCCATTACACAGCCCTAGCAAGTGACCACGGCCCGTTTCTGGACTTCCCTGGGTCTGTTTGCTCATCTATAACATGGGCTGTTGGGGACACAGTGAGGTCATGTCCTGCTTGCAGAAAATCTGCCACTAGGGAAAGACCTGAGCTCATTGCCTGCCTTAGGGGCTGGGCCTGGAGGTGGGGGAACTTTGGAAGCCTAGAGTAATTTGTTTTGGGGAAAATGCCTCTAAACCTGAACATTTCTGGAGCATCAGCGCCCCCTGCTGGCCACAGACCAAAATCAAGCAATGGGACCCAAACCCAGTTCTTAGGGCTGAAGGTGCTGGAGAGTCCAGACCCACTTCACATCCCCCACCCCCTCTAACAGGCCCCGCCTTTCCTGAGGCCACAGAGCAATACAGGGTGAGTGTGTGAGGAACGGGTGGGCGTTTAGCACTTGCTATCTACTGAGTTTTTTTAACAGACTTTTTCTCAAGTCCTTCTCACACTGACCGGATGCAGGAAGTACTGTCAAGGCTACCGTCCCGTGTAACAGATGTGTAAACAAGGGCATAAAGAGGCCGCACAAGCTTCTCAGTGTCTTGCAGCAGCGTGTTAAACCAGGGCCAACTGGTGCCCAGGCTTTGCCTGTGACCAGGCCTGTCCCCAGGTATGACCCAGAGCTCCTTGCCCCAGCTAGGGCCTCAGGCCGGGAACAGCCTCCTGGCCCCAGCATCTCCCTGGGGAGACAAAAGGTAGCACCCAGCTCACAGTGGGGTGCATGTCTCCATGCCTGGTTCCCGGGGTGCCCGAGGAGAGGATTGGGGTGCGTCACTGCCACTCATAAGAACAACAGGCTACCATTTCTGTATGTCTATGGAGTGGCTTAGTGCCAAGTGTGCTCTAAACACTGTCCATTAGTTAATTTAATCCTTATTTAACTGGGTTTTATAAGTGCTCTTACAACCACTCCCATATTACAGATGGGAAAACTGAGGCCAGCAAGCTTCTCACAGCCTGTACCGTGGGAGGAGGTCTGCTCTGGCTTGCACGGGCCCCGCTGGATGGAGGCCAGGCCACCTCTTTGCAGAGCGCAGTGTGACTGGGTGTGGCAGCTCCTGCCAGAGGCCCTTCGGGCCACAAGCCCAGGGAGCCGCTTTCCCAGCTGGACAGGCAGGTTTCTCAGTTCCCTCCGGGCCTGGAGAAATGCAGCTCCCAGAGCTCCTCCCCTCACTCTCCTGGTGCCGCCCAACAGCCCCGGGCACCGCTCCGGGTCTTCGCTGTCGCCGCCGGGAGAACCACAAAATGGGCACCGGTGTTGTCCTTGCTCAGTGCTCCCTGTGCGTTAGCTCCTCCAGTCCGCACAGAAACCGCTGTGCAGACGAGCAAATGGAGGCTTGGGGAGGTGAGGCTGTGCCCCTGAGGTCCCAGAGCCTGCGGGTGATGGAGCTAGAGTTTGATCCCCAAGGGCTGAGACCACCTGGACAGCCCGTGCCCCCCAAATGAGTATGCGAGCCTGCTCCGAGCCCCCTGGCACGCCCACGCAGGCCACCCCTCCCCTCCTTTGTCTCTGAATCCTCCCAGCACCAGTGAGGAGCTGACAACCCCTACCACCCGTCACAGAGGCGCAGCCCCCTCCTCCCTCCCCCCCCCCCCCCCCCCCCGTTACCACCAGGGCTTTGGACTCCAACTCCAGAGCTCACCCCCAGAAGCTGCTGGATGTCATGCACATGAGGTCACCGCCCAGGGCCGACCGGAGGGGTCATTTCCTGTGCGGCGATAGGCGTCCCAGAGACCTGAGCAGCCTCGAGTTCCCACAGCCTCAGAGGAAGGCACGCCGCCAACGCACAGCAGTGTATCTGCGAGCTTTCCTGTTTCCATTCTTTTCACGCTTCTCAGCTTGGGAGCCAGACAGGCCGGGTTTAATGTTAACTTTTTGTTCCAGTCCCTCTGGCTGAAAGGGGCAGGTGTCATCTAAAAACAGTTAACTCTGCCCTGCTCGGGTTGGCTCAGTGGATAGTGTCCGCCTGCGGACCAAAGGGTCCCGGGTTCGATTCTGGTCAAGGGCACGTGCCCGGTTGTAGGCTCCTGGGCCCTGGTCGGGGCTCATGCAGGAGGCAACCAACGGATGTGTTGCTCTCACATCAATGTTTCTCTCTGTCTTTCCCTCTCTTTTCCATACTCCCTAAAAACCAATGGGAAAATATCCTCAGGTGAGGAGTAACAAAAAAATAAATAAGTGAAGATTTAAAAAGTTAACATTAAAAAACAAATTCAGCGGAAGCTGGTTTGGCTCAGAGGATAGAGCATCGGCTGCGGAATGAAAGGTTCCAGGTTCGATTCCGGTCAGGGGCATGTACCTTGGTTGCGAGCATATCCCTAGTAGGGGGTGTACAAGAGGCAGCTGATTGATGATTCTCTATCATCGATGTTTCTAACTCTCTATCCCTCTCTCTTCCTCTCTGTAAAATATCAATAAAAAATATAATTAAAAAACACTTAAAAAAAACAACACGGATTCAAAGTCACCAGTGCAGATAAGCATAAGCAAAACGGAAATCCATGCACTTCCAGAGCGCGTGTCCAGTACGTCTGCAGCTCTGGTTCTTCGAAGGTCACTGACCTCGAGCTGCTCCGAGGCCTGGGACACCCGCGTGGCTGCGTGGATTGAGCGCCTCTGCTGGCCTGGAGCTCCCGACACTTGGGCCCCACAGCAGCTGCCCCAGGTGGGTTTTCCTAACCCGAGGGAGGCTCGGAGGTCCGGAGGAGGCAGGTGGCTTGCCTAGGTCGCCCAGGGATGTCTGAGACCAGGCCCACACGCACAGATCCAGCCCCTGGTACCTGTCAGAGCCGCCAAGGAGGCGCCATGAGCTGCAGCCGGGGAGGATGAAGAGGTGCTCTGTCGCTGAGCCTCCCCCACCTGGAGCCCTGAGAGCTCTGAGGTCCCCAGACTTCCTGATCTCAGCACCTCGCTTGCCCTCCCTGAGAAGCCAAGGCCCTGGAACCCGGGGCCGGGCTCGGGCACCCGGGCTGGGGTGGGTGGGATGGGCGCTGCCCCCACTTGAATGGGAGAGGCGGGACCCCAGGGGCAGCACCCAGTCTGGCTTCAAAACCTAGTAGCCTGGAGACACTGGGCAGCGTGCCTGGAGTTGGCCACACCCCTCTCTCCGCTGCCAAGAGCAGCATCACATGGGCAGGCTGAGCTCCGACTGCGGGCAGCAGGGCAGTTGTCCTGCTGAGGCTGCCGGGCACCTGGAGGTGGGCATGGCCAGGAGGAGGAACCTGGCGGTCGGGGGAGAAGCATGCCGGCTGGGAAGCCAGGGTGGGCTTCCTCTCAGGACCCCCTGGGAGCGCCCCGGCCTGGCTGCAGGGCCCTCTGGCCACCCCTGCCAGGACTTGCTACCACGTCCCGTCCCCGTGCCTTGCCCAGCGCACTCACCTGACCTACGGGGGACGAGGGAGACTGCGGGGCCGGTCTGGTCGGACACTATGAGAGGCCGCGAGGGAAGACGCTCATTACCCTTTAGGGATCCAAGAGGCTGTGAAAGGCCGGGGCAAGCCGGGGTATTTCAAGAGGCGGGCGGTGGGCGGGGCCAGGAAAATCACTTTCATAAGCGTGAGTCAGCAGGAGCCCCTGGATGAATGAACTTGGCAGTCATCCTGCCTGCCCCGGGGCCAGTCTTAAAGGGGTCCCCCCCTGTGGGAAAGTCTGTGTGGCAGAGGGACATGGGGTGACCAGGCTGCCCCTCACCCCACGCCATCCCGGGGGCTCAGTGAGTGAACGGAGGAACCAGGGACTTGCTGAATGAGTCGGCCTGGCCTTTCCCTGAGGGAGGAGGAGACAGAGCTGCCCAAGGCAGAGGCTGCACCTTTAAGTGGAGAAAGACTTCCCTTCCTTCACCCACCTGGCTCCATGGTGTCTTCACTCTGTCCCCCAACCCCTAAAAACACCCTCTGGCACCAAGCTGCCATTCCTGGCCAAGCTGCCTCGGTTTCCTCATCTGAAAAATGGGGTCAGGTAACAGAGCGTTCCACTTGGGGGGGGGGTGGCATTGAAAGGGTCTCATCCTGGGCGACCCTGCCTGAAACACGAAGCCTGCTCCCTGGCTCTTACTGTTTTCCTTAGCGCGTAAGCAGTGCACACCGCCCCTTCTGCTGATTCTCATTTTATTGTCCCGCTCCCCGAACCAGGATGTGGTTCTGTGTGGGCAGGGAAGTGTAACTGTCTGCTTTTATCTCATGTCGCCAAGAGTGCTCAGCACACAGTAGGTGCTCCAGAAGGAAGGGAGGAAGGGATGAAGTTGGGACGGGATTTGGCCCGTGGACCTCGGTGTGCGGATGGGCTGTTGTTTTCTTGTCTGTGTGACTGGCCCCCCCACCCCCCGCCTCCAGTGTGACTCTCATCGCGGGACTTCCCTGTCAGCCCTGCCAGGGCACGGTGTGGTGGCAAGTGGAGCACTAACTGGCCTGTGAAACTTAAGGAGGTGCCCAAAGCACTGAGAGATCAAGAAAATGTCTTAATGCAATTAAAAAAAAAAGGTCAAAAATTAATGCAAAAAGTCTCGGGTAAACAAAATGCT